CAAGAGCAGCTTAAATAAATGACGAACTGATTATTGCGGTTGGTGAGCAGTTTGAGGCAGCACGACTTCATTCAGTAAATGGTGGTGCATAAGATGTACTTATCCGGAGAAGAACTGCCGTTGTCTATTCTTGAAGACTTTGCAATAGGTTTGAATTTAATCGATGAAGTCAAATCGTGCGTTGGATATATGAATGTGGGACGCTCGTGAGAAATTCACGTTTTTCATGTCATTTTGAATAGGTTAACAGTTAGTTGTGTGTAAATAGAAGCGATGAGGCGAGTTTCAGGAAGAATTTGCCAAGAAAGCCATACGACGATCGTGGCAGTTAGATGAGTGTAATAACGATTTATCGACAATTAGCAATAGGTGACTATTACACAAAGCGGAAAATCAAAAAAACACAGCTTGGTCATCTAGAAGTTGAAAGCTTTAAATGTGCTGTCGGTATCTACTTCCGAGCCTCTATTTGCATGCAGAAAGCTTGTTTGCAGTTTTTGGAACATTCCCTCTGAATATATCGCTTGAGCGCCCATGGATAGTATTGGATCTTTAAAGGGCTATATCATTCCTGAGCTCTTATGGGAATAATTCGTCGAGATCATGCGTAATTAGCTCGTTGGGATAACTCGCCTTTAATTAAACCTACTTGTCCTAGCAACTGTTGTTTTAGCTGAGCAGAAAACCGTGCACTTTTAAAATGTCTGATGAAGACGAAGCAGGTCCCGCAGGTCACGAAGGTGAAGAAGTTGAGGAAGAGCATGTACGTATCCTAATATTTTTAAACTTTCTAAATAAGGCCATCGTTGACAAGCCATTATCAAAAGAATTGGCTGCATCTTCGTTATCAATTCTGTCTCGTCTTGGATATGGTCTAGCACATGCGTATATAAAAATTCAGTGTGTCTCCAGGTGAGAACTGCAGTAAGTTCTATTTCCTTGAATTTACTTGATTTATAAATCACCATGAAAAATATTCATCATATGACATATTTAACAAAATATAATACAGTCTGAGTGCCCCTGATAGAAAAACGCTAACACCGGCGCGTTATTCTGTCCCTGTGTTGCGCGCACGCAAATATGTCCCCCCAGGTGACATGTGAGAAGCGTTCCTAGTCGGCGTCACCCCCCGTGACAGGGGCATACCATCCACCCTCTAGCCGGCGCAGGCATCCCGCGGTCGAAATCTGGGCCAAGTTGGATCTAGTCTATGCAGACAAAAGCTTGACACCCTGTGACAAGTGCAACTGGGGGAGGGGGGCTAATCAAGTGCACGCAGAGTAGCGCGACGGTGCTAGCGTTTTTCTATTAGGGGCTCTGTAATGAAGAGGGCAGGTTCTGATAGCATTATCTAGAAGCTATAGTTATGCCGACGTTTTGTTAAGACATGGACGATCCAGCGGCAATGCTTTCGGATGCAGTGAGATAGCAATTCCCTTTCGAGTAAGCCGTGAAAATATTGAGACGAATTGAGCCACTTTATGGCGAAAGCGACCTTGGCGCCGCCGTGGATTACAACTTGTCCGTAAAGTATTATTAACCTCTGGAATTTTTTTCACACGACTCACTCCTCAATTAGCCGTTAACTGCAAAATCGTTTTGGAGAACCACTTTTGGAGACTATTCTTTTTTAATTCCTATATTTATATATAAATGACCTCCTTTGATTTGCAACTGTTTTCAAATTTAAACGACTAACAATTAAGAACCAAAACTTATTTGTATGGAAAAAGATAAAAATGACATAGTTTGAGGGCGTATTAATGAGTAATTATTTGATCAGAATACCTACGACTGGTCAGAAAGACGAAGATATTGCATTTGTTCACCGCACACATCTCCATATCGGCTTCACAAAAGGGAGACAAAATCCCGTAGATTGATAAGTTTCTTGTTCTTCTTGAAGATACAAACAGGGACGACTAAGAGCCAGTCTTTGGATGATTTGAAACTGTGAGAACTGATTACAACCCGAAGCCTATTTACAGCAGAGTTATCCTGTTTTTCGTATGTCTTGTTACTTGGCAGTGGTCACCTTAAATCACAGCCATTAATAGTGGAACGAGGGCAACGATGCAGTCCAAAAGCTGCACCGAATAGCAAACAGACAAAGATGAAACCAAGATTAAATTACGTTGGAATTCGAAATTCCTTGATCAACTCCTAGCTCTGAGCATTCGAGAACAATAATTGCAGCGCTCACTTCAGTTGGAAATGTGGAAAGGATGTAACTTATTAGTGTTATGGGTTTCGGAAACAGAACTCATGCAAGCACTACTTCATTCTAGAAGATCGTGCTACATACTTCATCTACTTTCACCATACAAGTTTAAATTGCACTTACACCGGCAATTGAGCCCATGAGTCATTTTTCGTTTTGGCATTCATTTGGGTGCATGCTAGATATATCGAGTAAATTTTAATTTCTTAAGCATTTTAAACGCGACCAAATTCTAAATTGCTGACGCGGGCTAAAAAATGTTTATTTGGCCTAGAGATATTGAAACTCCGCTGCCGTGCACCCAACTGACAAACATTGAGCTAAAAAAATGGAGTGATTTGGCGGTGTGCAGAGTTGTCTTTCAGCAAACAAAACAACGAATGTTTATGAAGGCGTTCATTTGTGATGAAACGATCATAATTTCCAAAGCATTGTAGCCGTTCATTTTCGATGACTGAGACTCAGATGTTAGCTGTCACCGGATTCTCATTATCACCGGCATCAACAATTAGAACAAATAATGTTTTATGAAGAATTATTCCGCCCATGAAATAGTGATATCGCACGACATCTGTTTACAAATTATTTTTTTTTAAACTTTCATCACTTTTTCCAAAATAATTCTCCAATTTGTTTGCAGTAAGGTAGTATTAAGATTTCTAGCGAACCATGTTTTTTTTTGTTTGTACTGTGCTTTGGCTAAACACCGTTTCAAAGATTTTTACAATACCGTGAATTAATAATACTTTCAAATATCCAATCTATTTTACGGTGGATGTCTCTTGAATGAATAAAATGGAAGGTACGTTTTCTCGCATACCAAATGGAAAAGCCTCGCGCCATACTGTAAATCTCACGTTTTAATATTTATCTCTTAAAGTTAATCTGGAATATTTGAAAATCCTCACACGTTGTCTCTCTTCTCTGGTTTAAGAAATATAACGGATATTTCGCTTCTTGAAAAATATGTGCATCTGCGTATCGTCATTCTGAGCGGCAACTTCATTACAGATCTGACACCGCTCTCAGAAATGCGCAGCCTAATGTACTTAAAGGCCGATCACAATCGTGTTGCCGAGGGTGGACAAGTAAAACCACTCGATCATCTGCAACTTTTTGATCTATCCTACAACAAACTGCCAAATACTGACGGATTCTCGCACAAATCCCTCAAACACCTGATCCTTAATCGTAAGAATTGACGTTAACTTTTATGCACGCAAATAAGCACATTTTTACCTACTGCTTGATTTTTGGATTGAAAAAGTACTAAAGTGTTTAAGAGTATTCCAAAAATTATTCGTGCGGTAGACAGCGCTCCCTAATATGAAAATGTACACGCCCATTCCGTCCTGTTTTCAAAGTAGCCCAAAAACGCGACTTCCACACTGAATTAAATAACCGCCACTGTAGTGGTCAGAGTTTGGACTTCTAGCTCAGTTAATAACGCGTCACTATTCAGACATCTCAGACTACAAGTTTGGTATAAAGAATTACCGAAAATAGCCTAGGAGTTAGTAATAAATGCTCCTAGTTCCGGCAGAATATTACTAATAAAAAAGAGAAGGAAGACGAAAATTGTTATTTCTGGCTTACAAGCCGTCCTCAGCCAGCCATATCCAACATCAGGTATTACAACACTCGAGGCTTGAGCAAGCAAACAGTTGATTAGAAAGCCGAATAGAACGAGTGGGAGCCGTAGCCGATCGGTGATCACCCTATCAAAACTGAAAATACCACGAGTCTGTGGCTCAATGGCTTGGGCGTTGGGCTTCTACTCGAAAAGAATGAGGGTTCGAGTTGAGTAACAGATGGGTTTAGGTATGGCTGGCTGATGACGGCTTATAAGCTAGAACTGATCATTCCACTCTCCCTTGACTTTATCGGCAATGTTCTTCTGGGTAGAGCCGCTGTACGACTGCTGGTAGGGCTTGTAGCGTCTAAGTAGTGGATGTACACGGATCACTACAATCATTAGGTTGAATCCCAAGTTTCAGGTAAAAGAAAAAAGTCACCAGAATGAGGGCTTTACTGTGCACAGAAACCTGAGTTGCGGCCGCAGGCAGCAGTAGCTAATGGCGAAGATAGGGCTGGCGTTGACTGCATCCAGTCGTGTCCGAGAGTGATTGTGAGTGTGCGATGTAATATCGGCAGTTATTTTACATGAATGTGAAGCGAATCTACGTGATTTGCTATTGGTGTGTTTGTATTACCCGAGGAGTTTCGAGTATTGAGGTCCACACCGCATCGGTTGAAGGGGTCATGTTGAAGTACGCATGCTTATTTGGATGCCCGTGTTTGCGCACGTACGTGCGAATAAGCTGAGGTAAACTCTGAGGGCCGCCGTGCTTTGGCGGAACGCCTGTTAGTCAGGGGGATTTTCTTGGCGGTCGGGATGCTAGAAGACAGGGGACGCGGACTCAGCTGTTATCGGTT